TCTATATATATTCAGTGTGTGTGTGTTTGTGTATCAGGTCTGTGATTTGCTTTCAGAGTGTGAACTTTGCAGACCTCTGAGGTCATCCAGGGTTGCTCTCTACATCTTCCCTGAGGTTAAAAATACAAAGCTGAACTTATTATGCTCCTCGAGCACACACAAAAAATAAAGCTTCTAAAGGACTACTTTTAAATCTTAAAAATAACAGAAAATGTTTCCTGCCTTTTTTAATTTGTCTTTCTGCTCTCTTTTAATCTTATTTTGTTGTACGCAGTTCTTATATTAAGCATATTGATTTATTTTTTTTCTGGTGTACAAAATGTGCTTTATAAATGAGGTTCAACTCGACTTGTTTGTTCATCAGCAGAGCTGTCTAATTACAGAAGTACAACTGATATTTATCGAGGCCAGGGGGGGGGCCAACTGAGGACTTGAACTAGCAACCCCTTACCCCCACACGTTTTCTTCCCCCCATCTGCAGGGAGGGTATGAAATCAGTGCTATAATGTAATCTGTCCCTCCTCCAGTTCTTTCTCCCCTGCAACAAATCTCATCCTGAAGATTACATCCCAACGAGACATGCCTGCACGAAAACACACACAATATGCATAACACTCAATGCATCACACACACACACACACACACACACACACACACACACACACCACACACACACACACACACACACACACACACACACACACACACACACACACACACACACACACACACACACACACACACACACACACACACACACACACACACACACACACACACACACACACAGTACCCCCTATCGCGCACGGCTCTGGAGAAGCATCATTGCCCCTCCTATCCCTCTGTCAATAAGCCCAGTTTGGAAACACTTTAAACAGACTTGCACATTGCTCTGCTGCAAAAACTGGGAAAAAAAAAAAAAAACTTGAAGACATGCTTCTCCTCCATACCCACAGGGTTAATTAGAATTGTTTTAAACAGCCACTGCCATGCTTTTTAAACATTTATGGGTGCATGCATTTCAACTAAGATATTAACATATCCGAAAAGTTTAACCTCTTCTTTGCTCCTGCGTTCCAGCATGAGGACCAGGGGAGGAACAGAGAGAGAGAGAGAGAGAGAGAGAGAGAGAGAGAGAGAGAGAGAGAGAGAGAGAGAGAGACACAGTTGACCTCTGCTGCCCCCTGTGTTAAAGCTGGCAAACAACAAGGGAGTTTTCAATGAGGAGCAGCAGCAGCAGCCCGCCTTGGATCAGAGAAGTCGGAGCCAAGATGCCACGCCGGCTGAATGACAATCAGCTCGTATGTTAGTGATGAGAGAGCGAGAGAGAGAGATCTAAACCCAGAGGCGATGTAGTACCAATAAAAACATATATTATTCACTAAGAGGACATACAATAAGTAGTAGAGATGAATAAAAAGAGGCAGGAATACAGTCGTGATAACTCCAAGGCAAAAACGCCACCACAAATAAAATGTGATGAAATTTAAACTGTTTTTCTTTATTTAGGGTTTTATTAAAAAGATGTATTCTGGGGTAATTAAAGAAGCGCTACTTATATGCACACAATTCAGCATCAGTATGATCCAACATGAAGATCTGCATTCAGAGGCTAAAGATAGAAATCAGTGTTTGGAACGGTTTAATATCGCATTTGATGAATAATACTTCTGATCTAGCAATATAATCAGGATTATCATTTCTAAATGAGCAGCCTGCGCCTGTGGATTCTTTTTCGGTGACAGATTTAGAGCTTAAAATTGAACTGCGTGAGCTGTGTTGAACAAATATCCTGAGTTGAGAGGAGGCTTACCTCTCAGAGAAGTGTTCATTTGTTGGTGGGTTGGTGTGTCCAGCTGAAGGTTTTCAGTGGAAACTCTCTGCCTCCCTGGACAAATGGGAGAAAAAAAAAAACACTCAAAGAGAAACAAGATTATTCACAACTTAAACAACTTTCACAACATAACTAAGCCCTGCATGTGTGCGAAATAGAAAGTTTGTAATGAGTCACGGCCATCAGCAGCGGAGGAACAATGGCAAAAGAGGCTGGGAGCAGGAAGTGTTGCCTGCAGGGGGCTTTTAACACTTCAGAAGAAAAAGAGAATCTCTCTTTCTCTCTGCCTCTTTCACTCTGTGTATCTGCTCACTGCCACATAAAGACGAGTGGTAAACATGAGACAGAACTGCTGTGCCTCTTTGGCCAAGAAGTGAGAAATTGCAGGGATCAAAGCAGTCCAATTATCATGTGTTTATGGAGTGCCAATTATCTCTGACAGTGGCAGGAAGGATTCTGTAACACTCGGTTGCACTACAAAGACATGGGAAAAAAAGGTGGCGGAGTTCTTGTGTGTACGACAGCCTCGCTGTGGGGGCGGTGGCAGCTTTCTACCGTCACCTAACAGTCACAAACGTTCACATACAAGGTCAAAGGATAATGACTACGGACTTGGACCACTGCAGAGATCACAGAAAATTAGAGCTAATTGCAGACAGAAAGAAAGCAAAGCAGTGAAACATAAATCCTTCGAGCAACTGGAGCTCTGTTGGAGGGGACGTAACACCAGTCTGTGGAGAAATTACATCATTTACCATTTTGTTAATGAGAAGATTATGCTTCCCAAGGCAACGCGCTGGAGTTTCTGAATGTGTTAGGACAAGACTACACCCTTCTTTGTCCATCAATATAAGGAAAGACATGTCTTAACACATGATGATAGTGATAACTGAATGCTGTTTATGTCTCTTATTATATGTCCCGTCCTGCTGAGGGTTAAAAAAGAAAAGAAAAAAAAGAGTATCAAACCAATGAGAAAATGGGCCAGAACTACAAAGATACCACTAGAAACCAATTCATTATTGGAGCCATTTTATTCCTGGAGAAGACGACCTGAAGATCCTCCTCAGGACGCACACGATGACAACATGTATCCGCAAGATTGGATTGTGTTGACATAGAGCAGGAACACAACAACACAACTCTAAAGATCCAATCACCAAAATAACCTGGAGAGGCTGTCTGATGTTTATTTGGCTCCGCTGAGAACGTGAAAAGTGATATGTCCCAAGTCAAAGAACAGTATATCAACTCCATCTATGTAATGAGCATTCTTGCATGAATTCAAATTAGACAGCAGCCATTCAAACTAAACGGGAAGCACATAGAGAGAGAGAGAGAGAAACTTCAGGTTTCAACAATGTTATCACATCCCTGACATTTACAGCTTTTCAAAACATTTCAAATATAAAATAAGAACATTTTGTGGCTTAAAAGGCAAAGAAGAAAATGCTTCAGCTGTGCAGATGACTTGCAGGTAACGAAAGCAATGAGATGGGCTGTAATGGCTGTAGTGCAGTCTTTCTAGGCAAAGTAGCATGGACCCAAAATGTCACCAAAAACTGCTTTTTTTGCCACTGATAAGCTTAGTTTATTCGTTGATTTGAATCAGGGACAGTGTACAATAGGTGTCTCACAACAGTATCAAGTCATGCATGCCAATATTGACAGTACAAAAAGAGAAAACCTCTTTGCTGTTCCGTTACGCACATATTTGGTTGATTTTCTTGGTCATATAAATAAAAAAAATGATCAAACTGAGACTGTAAACCAATAGAGTTCCTTACAGTAGATAAATTATACGATAGAAAGAGCTGTTAATTCAGCTTTTTAAAGCCTGTGTTCTGCAACATGTTTTTTTTCGAGAGTCTTGAGACTTTGAAGAAAGAGACATTTTGTTGTTTTCTGGATGAGTAAAGGCACCTCTCCTTATTAAAAAGATCTATCTCTGTAGTATTCCTTTCTGTAGAGTTGTTAAAGAGTTTTGGTTTAATTCTGAGACTGTCAGTGGCCAAAACAAGAACTTTTTTTTGGGATGGCACACAACCTATATCCATCCAAAATCTAGAATAAACTCGTGTTCATGCCACATGATGGAAGTGGTTAAAAAAAAAAAAAAGAAACTTGACAACCAGCCAAAAGGGCGGGACAAAGTCAAAGATACTGATAAGCCCCTGAGTCCCCACATACCAAGAGGTCATCCTTTCTCAGTTTCATCCACCTGCAGCGTGTGCACACTACATGAGTCTAGCTGCTGCAGTTCAAACATTCCTCCTCAGGCTGCTCTTGCCAATAGATCCCTTCAGGAGATCTGCTGACAGATCACAGCGGGAGGCACTAAGATGAAGTGTCAACGCAGCTGTAAGATCCTGTGTCAAATCCCCGTGTTTGGATCTGAGGGAGCAGGCAGCCAAAGAGGGGATTGGTGGAGTAGTGCAGTGCATATGCAGTTATCCCCATCACTGCTCATGCAGGGGGTCCTTCACTATAATCCCCTGCCTCTAGAGACTGTGTGCAGGGAGAAGCTGACAGGAATCACCATGCAAACACACACCCACACGTAAGTATGCATGTAAGCCGATGCACAAAAATTACAGATTTATGCTTTCTGCTTTTTTACAGCAGTCTATTTTATTCATTGTTCTGCTGCCGTGGAAAAAGAGGGGATGTGTCAGGGAACTATTTTTACACCGAAGATTGGCTGGAATGAAATCAAACTTCACTTATGTGGCTTGGTAAACACAAAGAAATGCAACGAGTACCTGGATTCCTCTGTAGAAACCTTTTTTTTTTTTTTTTTTTATTACTTTCACCAACTCTCTCTCTCATGTCCTTTCAACATGTTTAATAAGGCCGAGCATGTGAGACCCAGATGAAGTCCCTCAAGCGCTGAATCTCCTTGTAAAGTTGTGTTATTTGGATATGAAACAAGACTAGCAGTGATGAGTGAGGACCTCCCCAGTGGCTGTGTCTAAAGCAAAACTGGGGTGTGAGGAGTGAGGTTGGCATGAGAGTGAGACTTTTTTGGGGGAAGGGGGCGGGCGGGGGGGGGGGGGGGGGAAGCAAGCCAAGAGGAAAAGTTAAGGAGAGGTGAGAGGGAACGCTGAAAGAAGCTCCAGCAGACTGAGAGGGAAAGAGGGAAAGAGAGGTGTGACTTCTTCAGCGCTCACCCTGTAACAGGGAGGAGCATGTGTGTGTGTAGGTGTGAATGTGCACATGGTGATGAGGATGTGTGTGTGTGTGTAGATGTGTGTGTGTAGATGTGTGTGTGCTGAGCTCAGCTAATGCCATGCTGCCATCTCTACTGGGGCATCGGAGACCTGCTCTGGCAGAGAACCAACTGCAGGTCAGATCTCTGGCACTCGCTCTTTCAGCGAGCTGGCCGGGGTGGCGGGAGTGCAAGCGCTCTGCCAGAATACCAAAAAAGAGCTGGACAGAGGTGGGGTGGAGCAAGTGAGACATCCAAAGGGGAAAAGAGTGAGTGATGAAGAATACTCGGAAAGAGGGATTAACAAGCATAAGCAGGAGAAGAACAAAGATGATGCTCCGGTTTTAACCCTCCTGCTATAAGAATAAGTATAAGAAAAGTGAAGGTTCTTGTGCTGCCAAAAAAAAAAGACTGAATGTGATGAATAAGGTGAGAAAAATTAGTCTCTGAGCTGGAGATGAAGACGGGGAAGCGGGGGTGATGGCACAGTGTTTAAGTGAGCAGGGCATCCATATTCAGGCGCAGGGCCCAGAGGCACAGTTGGCCCATAGAAGGAGAAGGTCGCCAGAAGACAAGTCAGAAGGAAACGAACAGCCGACACAGGAGCAGGAGTCTCTTTGACCGAATGTCACTCTTTTGGCCTCATCTTCCACATGTTCAATTTAAGCAAAACCTACAGATCCCCAAAACGGACATGCGCCCATTAATTATATTAAGTCCATCCATGTAGTAGCAGGTAATAGTTGTTTTCTCAAGATGTTTAATTTTTTTTTGTTGAGTTAAACATTTTTTTTATTCTACTGAAAATGTGTTTATAAAGAAGTTTGTATTCCCTTTGCCTGTGTATTTCCAAACAAGGAGACACGTACCTGTCGTTCTGGATCAGTCCCCGCCATAGACTGTTTAAAGAGATGGACGACATGATAGCCCAAAATATTTGGAGCTCCCCCCTACTGACCTGCTGCAGTGTACACCATAAGCTCTCCCTCCTCCATGTCAATATATGGGACCAGGGTCAAACTAGAAATCCAAAATACACGTCTAAAAAATAAAAATAGATCCTGAAGAATGTTCTAATTCAAAAGAAGACTTTGAATCAATGGATCCATGAATCCATAATCGCGTTGAATTGAATCGTGACCCCAAAAATTGGAATCGAATCTTGAAACACCCAAAGGTTCCCAGCCCTATATGACTGCCTGTTTCTAAACCTTTCTATGACGTTCTTTGTATAAATTCTTTTCGAGGACACATTACAACAGAAGCTATGTTTGCCTTGGGTCATCTTCCCTGTTCTAAACTAACAACTGATCCACTGTGGAGGAGTAAATATTCATCCAAATTGAAGCAGAGTTTTCAAATGCTTTTTGAAACTTTATCCCTGCAACACACACATTCTCACTGGCTGGCATTAAGCAGACTGATACGCACATAAACATGACACTAAGTCTTTCAGGGTAGAAAATCTAATCTCTATTGAAGATTGAGCTATATAAACTAGTGTCAGCACAAACATGGCTATTGAAATTCTTTCTACCAATGTCAATACCATCTGTTTATGTAAAGACTACCCAATAGCTTCTACTCTATTAGCCCTCCTCGGCTCCCCCACACAGAATGCCTGATCACCTCCATCAGTTACTGAGGGCAGCGGACTCTGACAAGCTCACAACCGGTGCTTCAATAAACTGAAACCAGGAGAAAAAAAAAAAATAACTGAATCTCCAGCTACCAAATGTTCAAGCAGCCCACACCAAAAACATGCTGTAACTAGACTCTCCGGCCAACTCATAAGCTCACTTAGCCTTTGGCTACATCACAAAAAACACCATTGTCTGTGGGGGGG